TACAAGATCCCAAAGCACACACAATCTGACCCCACCTAGATTTCTAGCTAGCTATCCAGCCTATCCCCTGCTGCCCTCCCTTCTGCTCCAAGGGCCACCATCCTCCACACCCAGGAACCTTAGACCTCAGACAGGCAGAGTCTGTGTTTCTGGAATTCAAAAGGCATTCTCACGCTGCTGCACCTCTACGTGTGTTGCTCTCTCTGCCAGGAATGTCTCCTCGTGCAAATAGTTAATGCATTCTGGGTAGAAAGACAAGAAAGTGAGGGAAAGCAGGGAATGGGAGAGCACTACTAGAATAACACAGTGCTGGGCTCATGTCTGGGTCCTCCATAAATACTAAATGAATGAATGCAGTGCTGACCATGAGGTCTAGATTGCAGAGGCAGGGAGTGAGAACAGATGGACGATGAGAACAGCTCTGAATGTTTCCCTTTTTCTATTTTCCTCCCCCTCTGCTTCTTTCAGATCTCTGTGTTTATGTTTCTTCTAATTTACTGACTACTATAACACTACCTCAGATGCATTTAGCCATGCCATGCATAATTTATTTATTCATTCCCCATAAATCAATTCCTCTAGCCATCTGGAAAACAAGAACCACTTTTACTGCCTTTCAAGCTCCTTCCAACTAATCCTTTTAGTACGTGCTATTGTGCCTGCTACAAAATGTAGTATTTTATGCACAGTTTTACCGTCACGTATCAAGGATGTTGTGACCATTTTTCTGTTGGTACTGTCTATTAGGAAACCCCATGTGAAAACATTAAATAAAGTAAGAATGATTTGAAAGCAAAGCAAGAAAACTGCATTACTAGAGATTATAGTAAGTGGACTGATTTCTGCATGTGGCTCATAGAAAGCAGCCACATTATTTTATGGTCAGACTTTGAAAACCACAAGCAGTAATTCTCCTATAAAAGCTAGTGAAGAAGGATGAAGGAATTCTCATGTAAAAGCCCAATCTATAATCACAGGCAATGTGAAAAAAGAATCTTAATCTGCCTCGGTTTTCTACTCGATGAAATGGGAATAATGAACTGTCGCTTGCCCCAATCATCACTGAGACCAACACGAACACACAATGTACTTTGGTGATATGGATTCTATGAGACCATTTTCTATTAGAAGCAACCATGATAACTAGGTAGGCCAAACTGGCTTAGCCAGATAGAGCCATGATTGCTATTATAACTGACCCACTATGGATACTAAATGCATGTAAGTGCAAGTGATGTGCAAACACAGTTTTCTTTTGTAGAAGTAGGCAGATATGAAAAATCATTAAACACTAAACCATGAGTATCTCCCTTTTGTGAACTTTAAATTCAGGGTTGTCACCTGCTGGCACTTTCCTGAGTTATCTCTTGTAGGCAAACTTCTGTTCTAGGTAAACTTCTATTCATCCTTTTTAACCTGTGGTTTTTATACTGAAAGGCTTACCCAAATTCATTGCTTCCTCAGAAAGAGGCATCCATTACTTAAATGTTATTCCCAAGTTATTATCTATTGCCATGCAGTTTATTTCCATCCTAGTACTTATCACACTGAGTAATTTACTATGTAATTTGTCTACAATTGGCCCTATGTATTCAAAGGTTTCCACATCTGTGGAAATCAGCTGAAGATTGAAAATATTTTTAATAAACTGTGTCTTTACTAAATATGTACACTATTTTTGTCATTGTTCTCTAAAAAACACTACAAGTATTTTATAGCATTTATTTTTTGTGGTGTTTTTTCGTTTTTGTTTTCTTGTGCTGCTGGGAATTGAACTCAGGGCCTTGTGCATGTGAGGCAAGCACTCTACCAACTGAACTATTTCCCCAGCCCTAGCATTTACTTTTTACCAGGTATGATAAGTAATCTAGAGATGATTTAAAAAATGAAGGAGGAGGGCTGTGGTTGTGGCTCAGGGGTAAAGTACTTGCCTAGCACATGTGAGGCACTAGGTTAAATCCTCAGCACCACATACAAATAAATAAATAAAATAAAGGTATTGTGTCCATTTACAACTAAAAATATTTTTTAAAAAAAGAATACAGGAGAATATGTATATGTTCTATATAAACATTATGCCATTTTATCTAAGGGACTTGAGAATCCACAAATTTGGAGTCTGAGGACGTCCTGAAACCAATACCCCCTCTGATACCAAGGGACAACTGTATTTACTCATTTATTATCTTCTCTCACAAGATCTAAGTTCAGATCAATATCTGTCTCAGTTCCACCACTGTATCCACAGTATCTACAATAGTGTTTCACTCACAGTAGGTGCTCAAAAAACTATTTATTAAATAAATAGATGAAGGAGCTTTGTCCTTGCAGTGATAATAAGTTAAGGTTAATTAAAAAAATTTTTTTTTCAGTACCAGGGATTGAAACCCAGGGTGCACTACCACTGAGCAACATCTCCAGACCTTGTTTATTATTTTAGAACAAAGTCTTGCTAACTTGTCCAGTCTGGCCTCAAACTTGCAATCCTCCTGCCTCAATCTCCTGAGTTGCTGGGAACTTAGGTATGCACTACCATGTTCAGCTAATTCAACTTCTTAGCATGACATGCAAGATTCTGACTTAGTTATTTGAGCTTACATTCTGTCTTTTTATACCTCTGTATCTTATGCTTATTGATATCTTTCTGCAAAACCTTACTTTTTGTCTGGCATGTTCTCCTTCTTACAAAACAGCTAATCTTTCAAGTACCTGCTCCAATATACCCTTTTTTGTGAAATTTCTGAACCACTGTAGGTACACAGACACACAAGACATAATTTATAGAACTTATGCTATAGAATTATAGCAGTAAATAATAATGTAACAATGATATCTAAATTGTTTGAGATAGTATCTCACTATACAGCCCAGCTGGCCTCAGATTCCTGAGCTCAAGTGAAACTCCTGCCTCAGCCTCCCCTGTATGGGAACTACAGGAGTGCAACATCATGCCTGGATGATCCTTTATATTTAACTTTATGAGCATTTAACTCTATGCCACATACAGTTATAAGTACTTTATAGGTATTATCTCATTTAATCCTAAAACAACCCTAAGAGGTAGGTACTATCATAAGTACTTTGTGTGGCTGTTTAGCTAGCTAGAATTAATTTAATGAAGATAAGGATGGTGTCAAAGCCCTGCTAATTCCCAGAACCTAAAGTGTCTACAAAGTTGCATGCCCTTAAAACAAATTTGCTAAGTAATGAATTCTGACAGTACTTCTTTGTCTTCTGTCTTTGAGAATAGCAACACTGGTCAGTTAAAGTACCCTACAATAGTTTTAAAGTAATTCTACAAATTTAATCTTAAAGCTATAAAGTCCTTTCTAAAAGTACAAGAAGAAACACAGAAGTCCCCACTTTTGTGGGGATATAACTGACTATATAAAAATTAAAATATTTGTAGATTTGTGAAAACAAAGTTATAAAATACAAACCAGAAATGGAAAAATATGTCCAACCTATATCAGACAAAGAAATAGTAATAATATAGTAAAGACTCCAATAAATTAATAAGAAAAGATAATCAGACCATTAGAAAAATAGAAACATCATATGAACACATGAAATCACATTAAACTCCATTAAATAAAAATTATTTTTAAGTGGCCGGGCATGATGGTGCACACCTATAATCGCAGCAACACAGGAGGCTGAGGCAAGAGGATTATAAGTTGGAGGCCAGCCAAAAAAATCTTAAACAGTCTGGGGATGTAGCTCAGTGGCAAAGCATCCCTAGGTTCAATCCCCAGTACCAAACAAAATAAAAGTATTTTAAATGAAGATTAAAATAATAATGGAAATTATTTATTTATCCTATCATATTATAAACTTTTAAAATGATGATATTCAACACAGTGAGGTTGTCAGAGAAAAAAGCACTATTACATTCAAGTTGCAAAAATGCTGTTCATATGCTTAAACAGATATGTATCTACAAGGTTGTTCACTGCAGTATTGTTTGTAATAGCAAAACATGGTAAACAACTAAAATGTGCATTAACACAAGTTTAGTTAACTACAGTACAACCGTATCATAAGATTGTATACAATCATGGGAAAGTAGGTAACCAAACAACTTATTAGGAGAATTTTCACTTTGTAGATGTATTCTAGTTAATAAAAATCCAGTTACAAAATGGGAAAAGAAATTGAACACAAACTTCATCAATGAATATGTAAGGCTGGTAAATAAGCACATGACATTGATATTAGCCATTATTAGCCATTAAAGAAATTAAATTGAAACCATGATTAACACTACATACTTCTTAGGACAGCTAAAATAAAAATTAGTGAAAATACCAAGAGCTGTAAATGATGTGAAGCAAGTGGAACTGTCATGACTATAGCTAGTTCAGATGCAAAATGGTATAGGCAGTTTGGACAGTGGTTTGGCAGTTTCTTATAAAGTTAAACATACTAGCTCAGACATGTGTGCTAAGAAATGTGTTAAAACTCAGAGAACAGCATACCAGAAAGTAAATAAAGAAATTCCAGATACTTGGGGGGGGGGGGCGCTGAGGCAGGAGGATCCCTGGTTCAGGGTCAACCTGAATAACTTAGTGAGATCCTGTCTCAAAATAACATATCAAAAGGTCTGGGGATGTAGCACAGTGGCAGAGTGCCTCTGGGTTCAATTCCCAGTATGTATGTATGGATGAATGGACAGATGGATAGAAGGAAGGAAGGTAAATATACATTTACCATATGACCCAGTGATCCTATTCCTGGGTATGCTATTCATTTAAAAAAGATAAATCTCTAAGGCATTAACTTGAGTAAAGAAGCTAGTCTCAAAAGGTGACATGTGATTTAATGTATATGACATTATCAAAAAGAAAGAATACAGGGACTGAACCTGTCAGAGGTGGAGGTTACAAGAATCTAGGCATGTGTTAAAATACAGAGTCCTGTGTGTCAGAAAGGAAATTTTACTGTACATAAATCTAAAGTAAATTTTAAAAAGAAATTATTGTCATCAGTAATGATAATACCTTCTATTTCTCGGTCTAAAGGAGGAACATCATCTCTCAAGGAGAAATCCATAGCTGTTCCTGGTATGTCCATCAAGTCTTCATCGCTGGAGCTGCTCTGGAAGCTACTAAAACTCCCCTGCTGAAAACCTCTGTTATCCATGGCTCCTATAAAGAAAGAAAAATAGGAGGCTTATAATAATGACATCTAAGTCCCCAACCCCTCCTTTTTCAGTTGTGGTAAACACATATAAAATATAACATCTGAATCATTTAAAGTATGCAATGCAGGAGCACTGAGTACATTTGCAATGCTGTGCAACCATCACTACTATCCATTTCTAGAACTTTTTCATCATTCTAAATAGAAACTCTGTACCCAGTAAACAATCACTCCCCATCCCTCAGTCCCTGGTAACTTCTATTGTACTTTCTGTGTCTACAGACTTGCTGACTCTGGATATTTCATATAATGGAATCATACAGTATGCAGCTTTCTGTGTCTTGTTTCTTTTACTTAGCATAATGTTTTCAAGGTTCATCCATGTTAGGGCATACATTTGACTAATTTTTGTGGCTGAATATTATTCAACTGTATGTATAGGCCCTATTTTATTTATCCATCGATTAGTTGAAGGACACTTGGGTAGTTTTCCCCTTTGAAGTTGCCACTTATCCTTTTTTTGGAGGGGGAGGTACCAGGGATTGAACTCAGGGGCACTCAACCACTGAGTCACATCCCCAGTCCTATTTTGTATTTTACTTAGAGACAGGTCTCACTGAGTTGCTTAGTACCTTGCTTTTGCTGAGGCTGGCTTTGAACTTGAGATCCTCCTACCTCAGCCTTCTGGGCCACTGGGATTACAGGCATGTGCTACTGCGCCCAGCTGAAGTTGCCACTTATTCTTATGCCTTCTTTTGTATATTTACTTTGACAATACAGAACTGTGAAGTACTTACTTAATATACTCAGTCACCCTCTAGTTATGTACCTCTAGACTATACTAAATACTAAGTGGGGGGCAGGGTTGAGAACCATTAAAATGAATATAAAACCAAATAAGAGCCTGTGTACAAATATAAATGGAGTTCACAAATAATTGAGATTAAAATCAGATACAGTATTGAGAAATGTACTGGTCATATTTTATTTTTTAATATTTATTTTTTAGTTATAGTTGCACATAATACCTTTATTTTATTTATTTATTTTTATGGTGGTGAGGATCAAACCCAGGGCCTCACACATGCCAGAAGAGTGTTCTACCGCTGAGCCACAACCCCAGCCCCAATACTATAAATTTTCTACCTTCCAAGTGCAAATTCCCAAATTGTAACTTTTACTAAAAAAATAATCAGCAAGCTGTTTAAAAGAAAGACAACATTATGCCCAACTATATGTAACCCTACCCTTTCCCCCATTTAAAAAAAATTAAGTCTTAGTAAAAGATCATCAACAGTAAAGTTCTACTGAATGAAATAAATAATACTTGTTTTGAGGTTTCCTGTTCTTTTATAAAACTTCTTTGTCAGGCATGGTGGCACACACCTGTAATCCCAGCTACTCAGGAGACTAAAGCAAGAGAATTCTGCATTCAAAGCTAGTCTTGGCAAAATAGCAAGATCTTGCCTCAAAAATAAATAAATAAATAACTGGAAATGTAGTACAGGGGTAGAGTGCCCCTGGGTTCAATCTCCAGTATCAATCATTCAATAGAAATTTCTTGTTCTAGGTTGTTAGAATGATGCTTGATGAGTCTGGTAAGAAGAAAATTAGGATATCTTCAATAAAGGATAACTTCAATAAAAGACCTAAGAAAGTAGAATCAGAACAGATAAATATTTTAAACACTGAACACAAAAGAAAAACAACCAATATTTGCTAGGTACTTATCCATTTCCAGGCATTGGGCTATGCGCTTCAAGTAAATTCTTTCATTTAATTTCTCCATCATTTCTGTGTCTTTTTCTCTGTGTGTGTGTGTGTGTGTGTGTGGTGCTGGGGATTGAACCCAGGGCCTTGTGCATGTGAGGCAAACACTCTACCAACTGAGCTATATCCCCAGCCCTCTCCATCCTTTTTATGCTATGGCATTATAACTCTTTTTAAAAATATTTTTATTAGTTATAGATGGACACAATGCCTTTATTTTATTTATTTTTTTTTGTGGTGCTGAGAGTCGAATCCAGTGCCTCACACATGCTAGGCAAGTGCTCTATCACTGAGCCACAACCCCAGCCCACATTATAACTCAGACAAGAAACTGAAGCTTGGAAATGCTAAGTAATGCCCAGTTAAATTTTTCTGAAGTTGGGCTCCAAATCACATATTCAATTTCACAATACCTCCCTTGTGATAAGTGACCAGCCTGAGTTAAGTGAGTGACATTTAAGAAACATCTACTATGTATAAACATTGTGGGATACTGGGACAGATAGAATAATGATGCTGTGTAGGCTGAATGAAATGACTGGGAGGCAAAGATTTGGGAGTTAATAATGTTGAGGTGGTGGTTGAAACTAAGAGATCAAATACCCCAAGGGAAACTCTGTTTACTAGTGGATAAGTATGAATGCAAATAAAAGAAATGCATTCTCACTATTCTGCTATATGCACAAACAGTTTGAAATCTGTGCACATTGAACTAAATATGAGGTTATACTGGGACATTACTATGTTTTATGATATGCAGTGAGGTAGGGAAGGGAACAAAGCTACTTTAAGGTACTAATAATATATAAAATAATTAATCATAACACCTTTTTTGGTATTAGGGATTGAACCCAGGGGTTTCTACCACTAAGCTACATCCTCAGCCCCCTTTTTTTGTATTGGGCACTGAATTCAGAGACACTCCACTACTGAGCCACACCCTCAGCCTCATTTTGTATTTTATTTAGAGACAGGGTCTCACTGAGTTGCTTAGCACCTCCTCACTTTTGCTGAAGATGGCTTTGAACTCACAATCCTCCTGCCTCAGCCTCCAGAGCCACTGGGATTACAGGGAGGCACCACCAGCCCAGCTGTTGTTTTATTTTGAAACAAGTTCTTGCTACATTGCTGAAGCTGGCTTCAAACTTGCAATCCTCCTGTCTTAGCTTCCCAAGTCACTGGGATATCAGGTGTGTACCACTATGCTCAGCTGATTACAAAATCATTTCTTTGGCTACACAAACTTACTTTGCTGTGTGGATTAAATGGGTCATAGGATACTAATAATCCATGTTTTGCAAACTCTGCCAAGCTCCTTTACACCTCACCAATTTATCCTTGCTGGGCTTTCCCCCCTCTATACTGCCTCCTTCACTCTCCTTCTCCTGAGAGGACCCCCTCCATAATGCTCTTACACAAAATTCTCTGCCTCAACTTCTGCTTCTAGAAAGCCAGACAAAACAGGACTGTCAGAATTTTTTTTTCCTATTACTTAAAAACACATAGGAAATCTTTACTCTGTCTTCACTCCTCCCACCTAGGAAATAAATGTCTTTACTATTTAAGAAAAAATATTTTTTTTCTGTGTTGATGTTAGTCAAACTGATACGACTGCATTCAAAAGCATCTTCACTTCGGACTTTAGGAGAACATGCTGTCTCATATAAGCTTATTTCCTTTTTAAAAAAATAGTGAAAATCTTTTTTTGGCTTTGCAAATAACTGTTCTCCATAATGAATATTGCATTACTCAATGAGGACACAACTGGCAAACATTGTTGGGAAGTATTCAAATAGCATAACATTTGGATCTCCTAAGCAAGGTCAAGAACACTATACAGAATTGCCGACTTAAGGATTTATTTCACTTCCTAAGCTTGTTTTTTCTTGGGACACCGTTCATAGGATTTGAGTAAAGTACACTATGCACATAAACTTATTACTATTTATTTTATTTACAAGAATGACTGTTAGCAGCACACAGGGCCATAGACATACACATATCTAACAACCACATATCCCAGGCTAACTGCTTAAACCATGACTTTTTCCTCTCAGAAACTCCTGGCTTCCTTTCTAAAAATGTAGTTCCTCAACTTTTAACTGTTTCCTTCTTCCTCCTCTTATTTTTACTATCATCATCATCATCATCATCATCATCATCATCGCCATCTGCAAGGCTAGGGATCAAATCCAGGCCTTGTGCATGCTAGGCAAAGGCTCTACTATTAAAGTACACCTCTAGCCCTCTGTCAGTGTTTTGTACTCTTGCTTTGAACTTGACATGAGTGGATTTCTTCAAACCATCATGATTTCTATGTTGAGTGCTTCTTTCTCACTTCCTAATTTCTCAACTGACATTTGGGGGGATACAAAATTTGGAATAATACTAAATTTCTGGAAAAGTGACAGAAGGAATACCTACATGAAATCGCTATCTGGAACAGATCTTATCTTTTCTTGAGGTTATAATGTTGACAATCTTGAATATAGGCTATTTATTTGTGGACAATCTCTCAATTTTGGTTTGTTTGATATTTCCTCATGAGTAGATTCAGGTTATATATATCTTTGGCAAGAAGATCAGAGATCTTACGAAAAGCTTTGTTCTCCTAATTGTTTCTTATCAGAGGGCACATGTTTTTTTTTATTTGTCCCATTAATGGTATTTATTTGATAACTTGATACAAGTTGTGTCTAGCTGGGCCAGTGACACATGCCTATAATCTCAGCTACTTGGGAAGTTGAGGGAGCTGGATCACAAACTGAAGTGCACTCTGGGTGACTTAGCAAGACCCAGTCTTAAAAAAAAAAAAAAAATTAAAAGCACTGCGGATACTCAGTGGTAGGGTACTTGCCTATCATGCACAAGGTCCTGGGTTCAATCCCTAGTACTGCTCCCCACCCCCAACAAAGTGGTATATTTCAAGCCTCTTCACTGTTAATATATTATTTGTCTCCTTATAAGAATGATTATTTTCTGATTAAGTACATTAACACTAGGCAAATAAACTATTTCTTATAAAACATTTTATTTATTCAATCTTTATATAGATATGTAGAATCTTATTTTGTTCAATGGATTACAATCCATTGCTATTATTGCATTCATGTTCAAATTTTCTAAAATTTAGCTAGTGAGAATCTCTTTCGTGTGCATTTATGTACCCTTTTGACACATTGCTATCGTGCTTTGACAATTCTCTTAATCTCTGTCACAAAAGACATCCCAGACT